ATAATATATGCTAGGCACAACATAATAAGTAAATCAAATTAAAATAAATACTATCATGATTATGCAATGTACATGAACGTGTGAGATCTATGCACAATGCTAAAGATCACTTTCAATAATAATATGATAGGAAGTGAATGCACTTTTCACAAAAAAATGATAGATGAAACATGCAAAATCAGGAAGAATGCCCCAAAATAAATTTTTATCGAAAGAACTATAAAGATAAATGCAAGATACAATTGGATCTTCAATTGGAAAGGAAGATCCAGACTCTTCCAAATCTCTAGCCACCGGCTAGAGCCCAAATAACCTAGGAATAAATTAAATTCAACAAACTCCAAAATATCCTCTGAAATCACCCTATAGTTAGCCTAAATAGGCTTTCATAATTCCCTCCCAAATCAGCTCGCTTTCCCTAAATAAATCCTTCTCTGATTTGAATTCAAATTAGATTTATTTTTCTAATTAATTATCTCCCAATTGTAATTAAAACTTTCCTAAACAACCCCCTCCTTAATTCCTCCTCCTTTTCCTTAAATAATTCATTCTTAGATTTTGAATTCAAATTAGATCTCTTATCCTAAGTAATTCCCTCCCTATTATAATTAAAAAAATTTCGAAATAATTTCTTTTTGATTAAGAACCTTCCCAAATAGTTCCCTTTTGTTTTGGAATCTTCATAATTCCCTCTCAATCAAATCGGCCAATCCATTAATATTCCCCACCAAAGTGCCACATTGTCCTCAAGATGGTACGAAGGACACTGCTATTGAAGCACTAGACTGAAAAATGGATTGTCACTAGGTCGAATGATCCTTTCCTCTAGCATCACCTTGACCAATCTCTCCATCTCATCCTTATGGAGTTGGGGAGAATGGTACAGACTAACACTGATATGTGAGACTCTGTCCTTCCAAATGATAGTATGCTCATTCCTGCAGAGGAAGTAACCCGTGAACTAGCTAGAACACCTCTCGATATTCCTGTAGGAATGGTTGAACCATGTATGGTGCTTCTATCTTGTCCCTAACTTTTTTTTTTCCAGACTTTGTAGCTACACCAAAAATCTTACTTTATTTATCCCCTTCTTGGAAGTGGTTCCAAAGATGACATATCCTCTTCTTTCTCAAAAACTTTCATTTCATGATTCTCCCTCATTATCCCTATAGTTGTGTTTCTCCCATTTTCATGTCCGATCAACGATGCTCTAACCTTTGATGTTGTCGGTTTGGTTTAGCCCTCAGGCAACTTCTTTATCATCGCCTCCATGATGGCAAATTTCTCATCGATCTTCTCATGGATGGCTGAAAATTGCTTTTTGAACCTTGAAATCTTTTCTACAAAATCAGATTTCAATTGTTTGATTTCACTTTTCAATACTTCTACTTTTCTTCCCGCCATAGCTACCCAAATCTAGGCTTTGATACCAATTTGATAGGAAGTGAATGCTCTTTTCATAAAAATCAGCATATGAAACACGAAAAATTGAAAAGAAAAATGCCCCAAAATAATTTTTTTTGAAAGAACCATAAAGATAAATGCAAGATACAATTGGATCTTCAATTGGAGAAGAAGATCCAGCCCTCCCAAATCTCTAGCCACTGGCTAGAGCCCAAATAACATAAGAATAAATTAAATTCAACAAACTCCAAAATAGCCTTTGAAATCACCCTATTGTTAGCCTTAAATAAGCTCCCATAGTTCTCTCTCAAATCAGCTCCCTTTTCCTAAATAATTCTCTCTCATCTTTGAATTAAAATTAGATCACTTATCCTAAATAATTCCCTCTCAATTTTAATTAAAACTTTCCTAAATAATCCCTCTTGATTCCTCCTTCCTTTCCCTAAATAATTCCCTCTTAGATTTTGAATTCAAGTTAAATCACTTGCCATAAATAATTCTCTTTCAATTGTAATAAATTTTTTTCCTAAACAATTTCCCTTTGATTAAGAACCTTCCTAAATAATTTCCTCTTGATTAGGAAACTTCATGATTCTCTCCCAATCAAATATGTAGGTACATCATAATAGCACAATAGACTCGTGTGTATAAGATGAAATATATAAGCGCACAAACAACATAAGAGACTATGGTGTGATGCTAAGGTGAGCGATGCATGATCGATACAATCAAGCACTACATATATAACTAGCAACTATTGATAGAATTTTCTTCGGTCATTAAAGCATCACTTTGTTTTGTTCTCTATGCTTTGAAACAAAAGAAATCTGATGGACCAGCCAATTTGATTTCGAGGGAATTAGGAAATTTTCTAATCAAGAGTGGACTATTTAGGAAGATTTTTAATCAAATGGTAATTATTTAGGAATTTTTTTAATTGTAATTGGTAGGGAGTTATTTAGGGTATGCATGCAGGAGTATTATTTGTGTTCAAACACAAGGTGGTTTGACAAGTATTTTCCTATTTCAATTGGATTACATCAAGGATCAGCCTTAAGCCTATATCTTTTTGCTTTAGTCATGGATGTTCTTACTAGACATTTGCACTAGGATGTACCTTGGTTTATGCTTTTTGCTGATGATATTCTTCTTGTTGATAAGACCAAAGAGAGTTGAAGGTAAAATTGAATTATGGAGGTTAACCTTAGAGTCTAAAGGTTTTCACTTGAGTAGATCTAAAATTGAATATATGGAATGTAATTTTAGTAGTAATATACCTAGTGAAGGGATTATGACTTTGGACAATCAAGTCATTATTAAGAGTACATGTTTTAGATATCTTGGATCTATTGTTTAGAGTGATGGTGAAATAGATGGGGATATTATCAACATAATTCAAGTTGGATGATCGAAGTGGAGGAATGCATCGGGTTTGTTGTGTGATGGAAAGGTCCCCCTCAAACTTAATGGAAAATTCTATAAGATGGTGGTGAGACTTGCAATGCTTTATGGTGTCGAATGTTGGCCATTAAAATAGAAACATAATACTAAGGTAAGTGTTGCAAAGATGAGGATGCTCAAGTAGATGAGTGGCTTTACCCTTAGAGATAGGATACGGAATGAGCATATGCGTGAAAAGGTTGGAGTAGCTCCAGTGGAAGATAAGATTAGAGAGAGTCGCCTTAGATGGTTTGGTCACATAAAACAGCTGCCTTTTGATGACCTGATTAGGAAATTATAGGTATTAGATTTGAGTATTTGACTTATTTTAAGAAAGGTAGAGGTAGACATAAAAAGACTTGGCTAGAAAATATTAGAAATGATCTTTATTTATTAGATTTAAGCGAGAATTTGACTTTTAACAAGATAAAATGGAGACAAAGGATTCATGTAGCCGACCCCGCGTAGTAGGACAAAGACTTGATGTTGTTGTGGTAGGGAATTATTTAGGGTAAGAGATATAATTTAAATTCAAAATCTAAGAGGGAATTATTTAGGGAAAGGAAGGAGGAATGAAGGGAGAACTATTTAGGAAAGTTTTAATTACAATTGAGAGAGAATTATTTGGGAAAAGGGGGCTGATTTGAGAGGGAATTAGAGGAGCCTATTTAAAGCTAACAATAGGGTGATTTTAGAGGATATTTTGAAGTTTGCTGAATTTAGTTTATTCTTAAGTTATTTGGACTCTAGTTGACTGCTAGATATTTGGAGAGCCGGATCTTGCTCTCCAATTATATCTTGCATTTCTCTTTATAATTCTTTCAATAAAATTTATTTTGGAGCATTATTCTTCTCAATTTTTCGTATTTCATTCACTTATTTCTGTGAAAAGTGCATCCACTTCCTATCAAAATCCTTTTGCATTTTTGCTTGAGCATTGTGCTTTGAAATGCATTAGTACAAAGCAACATTTACTATCTATTGATTAATTCTGCATGCATTAGTTTCGTGTTGTATAAACTTGACTAAACTAAATTATCGTGTTAGTTTTCAAATTTCTAAAGAGCATTTGTCTTTGCTAATATATTATTATAAAAACGTCTACCTAAGTTGCCTGGGTGATGAGATATAATCATCAGGTATAGTTTTTAAATTTTAGTTCCTGCATATCTTGAGTGATAGTCCAAGCAAAAGGGTTAGAATCAATGGAAAAATAGCTTTGGTTGGCCAGCTAGCAAGCACAGGTTGGTTGGGTTTTAAGGATGGCCAACATAGAAGATCTTTGGCCCATTCCATTAGTTGAAGCGAACTTTGTCTTTGGGAAATGAGATTTTTCATATTTTAGTCCGTGAGTAGGGAAAATTTTGTTCCACATATAATATTGATAAAAAAAATGATGATAACCATTAAATAGACTTGTTTACCAAGTGAAAAAATAAGAACCTAGATCAAAGTGAAAGATAAGAAATGGATTCCTTCATTAGTTTGCCGCTGATCCATTAAGTTGCCAAGGAAAATTTGCTCATGTTGATATTTCTCTTTTTGTTATTGTTTGCCTCCGGAATTTTGGAAAGTAATTAGGATGATTTTTGTGTTTTGACAACAAAAACATTATTGTTTTAGCATGTATGCTCTATTTTTTTCATTACGTGTTCTCCATTTTATTAGAGAGTTAACCATGCTCTCCATTTTCAAGCCCCTAAATGTGTGATTTAGGTTTCGTTTTGGGACGACTTTCTTACTGTTTCTTAAATCAGCGTTGTACTACAAAATTTTACATATTTGTACTAAAAATCTGCTTTAAGAAGCAGTAAGAAAGTTGTCCCAAACAAAATCTTAATGAATATGCACTTTAATTGACAGCCTTGTATGATCAGTTGATCAAGGCTTCGTTTGGGACAGCTTTTTGATGCTTCTTAAAGCAGGTTTGTAATACAAAAAATTTAATTTTTGTATTAAAAATTACTTTAAGAAGCAGTAAAAAAGCCATCCCTAATGAAGCCTATCTATAATAAAAAGCTGCAATGCTATATTAGTGTGTGACAGAGGAATGGGAAAGCAGCATGTACATAGCTGATTGCATCCTTTTCATTGTTCCAGAATGAGAATATTATTCTGATAAAAATATTTACTTCCATTATTTGTTTAATTATCAGATTGAAGGTTTTGATTAGCAAAATGCAGTCTGAACATCTATTCGGGACAGCCAGTGATGAAAAGGGTATTTATTATGAACCAAGCAGTTCAGATTAATGCCTCTTTGTTTGCTCGATCTTAAAGCACAGAGGTATCGAAGTGACAAATGAATACTTCTGAATGCAGATTATTTTATCTCAGAAGAATAGTCTTTGTTTTATTTACTTTATTTGAAAATATTGAAGATTTTCATCATATACTTGCAAACTTTTTCAGTTTTTCACATTGTTGTCAACATTACGTTTGAGCCATTCTTCATTTTGAAACTCCTCGTTTGTGCAATCATTCAATGTTTGTGTAATTCTCCAAATAGTAGGGGTGGAATTAGTCTCTCTTTTGAAAGTGGAAAAAATAGAATTGTAAAATGCATAGTTTTATGTATGAAATAGGAAAAAAAATTCATAAAATTTGGGCAATTGTGTTTATTGAAGACGGGCAAAATAGTTAAAATGATTATTCTTTTAAGAAAAAAATGATTTTCAGAGTGGGCAATTAACCATCCTGAGCTCTTTCTGGTTCTAGCCTGGTTAAATAGTAACTTGAAATTATGATTTTCACCAAGTAGACATTACTATCAAAATTTTGGGCTTGTTTCTATTTGGAAGCTAAAATTACAACAACTTTACTTAAATGGAGTAATATGCTTATATAAATGTATGTGTGTGTATTTAGCAAAAGAATTGAGCAACAAAGAAAAAGAAAAAGAAAAAAAGAGACCATTTTCCATAGTAAGATTATATTACAATCATAAATAATATATATATCCTTATTATAAATTAAAGTTTTATGTAATAATATTGATAGGACAGCATAATAACTCTAACATCTCTCCACAAACTTACGATGCATCTTTAACAGATATCTTACAGAGTTTGCCTATTGAAAAGCAAAAGAGCAGATATCTTACGGAGTTTGCCTATTGAAAAGCAAAAGACATGGAGTTGATGTGACTTAGGTTTCATTTGGGACTGCTTTTTAAAATAGCTTTTAAGTATAATTTCTTTTTTTTCAAAAATTTTGTATTAAAAAGCTCAAACAATACAAAAACTATCCCAAATAAAACTTTAGTAAGCAAGTTAATAATATGGATAGAAAAGAAGAAATAAAGAGCAAGATAAGAGTCGTGTTGAAGGTGATGATCAGTGATTTGCAAACAATCTCAATATGTTTGTTACTTTCATAAATGATTAAATTGCGAGTAATTGGAATATCATTTTTATTATCCCAATATATAGGATTAGTACGAGAAAAAAAACACTCATATTTGCAAGCAACAACCACCAAATTATCTTAATGGAAATACTGGTCATAGCTCGATGGTTTATGTAATAATCAAAACATATCTTACTATTTAATTCTTAAATCACAAAGATCCAATAAATTAAGTAAATTCATTTGCATGAAAGTGTCTCAAAATATTTTATGATTTCACTATAGAGCTTACGAGAAACATCAAAGTTTATATGCATAACATCAAACTTTCATCATACATTATGGTAGCATTCTTAATATCTAACATCAAAACGGAGCATCAAAATATAGGGTTGTAAGTTCTAAAAATGATTCTTACTTGGGCTTCGTTTGTGACAGCTTTTTACTGCTTCTTGAAGCAGCTTTTTAATAAAAGCTGCAGCTTTTTAATAAAAGTTGCTTTAAGAAATAATAAAAAAACCGTTTCAAATGAAGCCTTAGACTCAACTATATATCTCCTTTTCTCTATTTAAAATATCAGCTAAAGTAATTTTTAGTGAGCTATATAGCTTTTTAAGATAACAACTATAATGCATAATTCAAATGTTCAAGGACATGAAATAACATGGTATATTAAATTATACTCATTAATTAATTTATTATATTACTTATAATCATTTCAAAATGAAATTGCTTGGACAACATGGTATATAATATCCTATTGAAGAAAATTGTAAATGAATGTTAACTGCCCATATATTATATGCACTATGCTAGGTAAGAGTACATGTGTCAGTATATTATATTAATTATAACTTATAATCATTTATTGTTTAACATATAATATTTTATCTTAGCTTTAGAATATGTCATATATAAATGTTGAGGTTTTGGTTATTACAAGATAATGAACTATTTTAGACCGGCATTATAAAATACAAGGTCGGAACTCAGTCTGAAAGCTACATAATAAAAAAAAAAATTAATAAAACACAAGCGAAACCCACCATTAGCGTAAACATTTGATGACATTTTTCTCTTAAAGGCTCACCTAGAAAGTATATGGTCCCCCTTATACAGACATTATAAACATATGATTACCATACCCAACATAACAAGATATTTTTTTAAGCTCATTATATGTTCATCATTGAAAATTTAAATATAAATATCATTCATCTTGAACATGTTAATCAACTATATGCATAACAATATAAATTGGACATTCTATCTAATGTTAGAATTCTTAAAATTATTTATATGCACGCTTGTACATTTTAAAATTAATACAAGATCATTTAATTATAAATGATATAAGTTTATTACCATCTCACTTAAATTTAAAATGAATCCACCTTCAATTAAATTCTTCAAATATAAAATTAAATATTATTTCTTTTATAAAAACATTATGCCATCAACATCTTTAAATGAGGGTAGAGCAATTAAGGACTATATTGATCATTATAAAAATAATTATCAAGATTTATTATCTTTCAGTAAGTGATATCCAAAATTTTAATTAAAAAAATTAAGCATGTTATGTCATCCCCTCTCTCCACCTTCCATTGAGGTTCTTGTTAGACCGATCCTTGTTGGATCAATCCAGCCGGCCCCTTGCCAAGGGCCCACCCATGTTTATAGAAAGCGGGCAGCAAGAGAGAGGGAGAGGGGGATGGGGTCCACTAAAGATTCAAAGTCAAACAAGATAGAGCCAAAGAAGGGGGCGACAAGGGCTAATATGTAATTTGGCTTAATTGTTTAATTGTTTGTTATAAGTAAGAAGGAGGAATTAGGGTTAAAGCTATGCTTTGTTTTGTGGTTGATTTTGAGTTCTTATTCTTGGTGTCTTGAACCCAAGATTCATCTAGGGATTGGGAGAGAACAATCCTCCTCTTCAATTGAGGATCAATTGTATCTTGCTTTATTCCTTTCGTTGGTTTGCTTCCTACGACAAAAACTATTGTTTTTGCTTGTTTTCCATTAGATTTGTGGAGTTTTCCGGCTGTTTTAGTTAATCTTTTTAGAGTTTACTTGAAATATTCAAGTATAACCTATCAAATTGGTATCATAGTAGATTTTGGGACTGTTGTGGGCTATTTTTTTGGAATTTCAACGGTTGTTCTTTGTCCAGAGGAAGGGTTTCTTGCTGATTTTTTTTATCAATATCTAGATTTTTGAACCTACAAAAATTCTAGATATTGATGGCGGTCAAGAAGGTAAATGTATTGGAGGAACGCCTTGAAGGGGTGATGAACCAAATGAAAATAACGATGGAAGATCGAATTTCATCCATAGAAGACAAGGTTTCTTCCATGGAAGACAAAGTTTCTGATCTTCATGCGATGATGAAGAAGCTATTGAAAAGTCAAATTTAAACGGCGACATCGAAGACAAAGGGGCCGGTGGAAGAACTACGAATTCTGAGTTTCGTATAAGTGAAAATGATGTGGAGATCATGGAGGAGAAAGGGGGAAGGTATGGAGAGATGTGTGTATATGGAGGCAATGAACTAAGGGGAGCTGGTGGGAAGAGAAAAGAGGAAACTTATGGTAGGAGGGGTGTTGATTTTGGAGAAAGGAGGGAAAGTGAAAAGCGGTTTGAAGATGAGCGTGCAAGGGAAGATCAGGAGAATTGGGGAGAACCAAGCAATTTGGAAAGGGTTATGGAGGAATACGAAGAAATAGGAGAGATTCGAAGGTGAGAAAATTGAAGATGCCCATTTTGAATGGGAGGAAGCACACGGGTGGATCTATAAGGTGGAGAGGTGTTTCACCATCAATGGGCTGACGGAGGAAAGGTTGACAATAGCAGGTTTATATTTGGAGGGGAAGGCATTATCCTGGTATCAATGGAGGGCTCAGAGGAGACCCATATATAGTTGGAGGGAATTTAAGGAATGCTTATTAGAACGCTTCTAAATTGGCAGGGGAGGGGACTTCTATGAGCATTTCTTTGCACAAGTACAAAACAGATCAGTGGCCGACTATTGCGAGAGATTTGAGCACTTGGCCAGTTGAGTGGAGCGACTATCATAGATGGCATTGAATGGCAACTTCATGAAGGGACTCAAATTTGATATTAGAGTTGTGATGAAGGTCATGAGGCCTCGTCATTTGGGAGAGGCAATGGAGTTGGCGCAATTGGTGGAAGATCAAAAGTATCTAGAGAGGGGAACTAGGAGCAGCAGCTCAAGAGGCTCTTATAGGATGACTACCACTTTTTTAACACCCAGGGTCTTGTAGTAGGCGATCTTCGTGATACCTCCAGGGAGATGCCAGTAGGGGGAAGTGGGGGAAATTTCAAAAGACTGATGGAAAGGGAGATGCAAGAGAAGAGGGCAAAGGGATTATGCTTCAGGTGTGATGAGAAGTATACTACATGAAATAGATGTAGGGACCGAACTCTTCAGGTTCTCATCGTCTGTGATGATGAAGGAATTGAGGAGGGAGGTGAGTGTGAGGTAAATGAAGAGATGGAGGTATCCTTGAACTCAGTGGTAGGATTCATCTCAAAAGATACCATAAAAGTGAAAGGGGAAATAACAGATATGGAGGTGGAGGTGTTGAATGATAGTGGGGCTACCCATAATTTCATTTCCACCCAGATTGTGAACCATTTGGGGATGAAATTGATGGATACATGGTGTTATGGAGTGATGATGGGCACATGGAAGGTGGAGATGTGCCAGGGAATATGTAGGGGAGTGGTTTTGACCATACAGGGGATACATGTGAGGAGGATTTTCTCCCGTTAGAGTTAGGGAGCACTGATGTCATCCTGAGGATGAAGTGACTGCAAACCTTGGGAGACACCAAAGTCAACTAGAAGGCATTGACGATGGAGCTGATGGTGGAAGGGAGAAGAGTAGTGATAAGGGGAGATGGGGGGCTCTCCAAAGCCATGGTGTCACTTAAAACCATGGTGAGGAGTATCCAAGAAGTTAGGGAAGGGTACATGGTGGAACAACATAGGTTAGAGGGGATCAAATTAGAGGAAGGAGGGAAAGTTCCTCTTTCAATATGGCTATTGATCCATCAATTCAATGAGATTTTTCAACCACCGCAAGGATTGCCACCACTAAGAATAGGAGCATGCTATTACTTTGGAGGAAAGTGTGTCACCCATCAATGTCAGACCCTACTACTATCCAAAATTTCATAAAGTTGATATTAAGAAGCTGATTAGAGAGATGCTGGAAGCAGGGATTATCAGACCCAATATTAGCTCTTTTTTAGCCAAATATTACTGGTTAAAAAGAAAGATGGAAGTTGGAGGTTTTGTATGAACTACAGGGTGTTAAATAAGGAAATTGCGCCAGACAAATTTCTCATCCTAGTGATCAATGAACTGTTGGATGAGTTGAGTGTAGCGGTTATCTTCACCAAGATAGATTTGAAATCCGGAGACCATCAGATCAAGATGAAGGAGGATGTACCCAAGACGGCTTTCAAAACTCATGAGGGGCATAATAAGTTTATAATGATATCTTTTGGCATCACTTACGCCCCAACCACTTTCCAATCCCTCACGAACAAGGTTTTCAGACCTCATCTCAGCAGATTTGTGTTGGTAATCTTTAATGATATCCTGGTTTATAGCAAGTCATAGGAGAAGCACTGACTTGAGGGTTCTAGAAGTGTTACAGGAGCACTAGTTGAAGGCCTATCTGAAGAAATGTTATTTTTCCCATGCTAACTTGGAGTACATAAGGCATATCATCTCTATAGAGTGGGTGGCAGCAGATCAGGACAAGATTGAAAATATGTTGAGGGGGCAAGTACCAAAGAATCTCAAGGAGTTAAGGGGATTCCTAGGACTAACATGATACTACAGAAGGTTCGTGAAGGGGTACAACACAATCGCATTAGGCAACTGAAGAAGGATGGTTTTTATGGGGGGAAGATGCCACAATAGCTTTTGAGAGCTTGAAGAAAGCCATGACAATTGTACTGACCTTGGCCCTACCAGACCTTACTCAAATTTTCATAATAGAGACAGATGCCTCAGGATATGAATTGGGAGAAGTACTCATGTAGAACCATCGACCCATCACCTACTTCACCCAGGTCTTGACAGCCAGAGCCAGACTGAAATCAGTTTATGAGAGGGAGTTGATGGCGATTGTGTTAGCTATCCAAAAGTGGTGGCCCTACTTGTTGGGTCGACATTTCATCGTCAGGACAGACTATAGGAGTATGAAGTACTTGTTGGAGCAGAGGATGGTGACTGAGGAGCACCAGAGATGATTGTCCAAGTTGCTAGAGTATGATTTTGAAATCTAGATGTATAAGGGAGTTACAGGCAATGACAATGTCGATATCAATGATGTTGGATTGAGAGGCCATAAAGGAGAAGAGTGCATGAGATGAGTTGGGAAAGATCATGTCTAATTTGTTGAAAGAGGAGAATAGCCACCCAAGGTATTCTCTAGATGGTGAGAGGCTTCTGTACCAAGGGAGATTCGTGATGTCTAGGACATCATTCCATATTCCACACCTGCTCCAGGAGTTACATGGGAGCTTTGTTGGGTGCTATTCAGGAGTGCAAAAGACGTATAAGAGACTCGCCTAAGAGTTGTATTTGAAGGGGATGCACAAGGATGACAAGGAAATGGTAGCCAGATGTAAAACCTGTCAGAGAAACAAGTACAAGCCATATCTCCAACTAAGAACAAGACTTTTCTGAAGCTTTATTAATCAGATTCATAGAGTTAAACTTCAGACTTTTTTGATCCGAACATTATTTGGATGGCTGGATGATTAAATAGATGGCATCATTTTTTTGGTCCTAATGTTGAGTTTCCAAAAGTATTCGATGTTCCCACATTAATAAAGTGATTTAAATATATTTTTTTAAATAGTACCTATATTTTTAATTTGGACATGAATTGGATCATAAAAAAAAAAAATTGAGCTCCTTCTAAGGTCTAGAACACCACAAAACGCTGAGCATTACAATCAAGAACATAAATGCTTTAACAGCCCACAAGCTAAATTCTAGCCAAATGCGTACATATCTACGCCTCAAGCAAAAGGAATATCATGGCTGTGTCGTTCAGAATGTTTAACAAGAGCAAAACAAAGTTTTATAGCTGAAATCTGACATACCTCTGATGTTAATCACACCGTTTGCACAGAGTTCTTTTCTGCAAGAGAGGAAACCTGGATTTATATGGCCTGCCAATTTCATTGTCACTTTCTTCACTATCTGAAACAATTATCATCCTTATATCCACTGGGTTTTCCTCCACTTCCTCGCAGTTTTCTTTCGGCATTTTCTCATCAACATCTTTAGTACTTCCAGTAGCAATGGATGGCACTTGATTAGGTGCAATGTTCTCTATGTTTTCACTGCTAATCTTTCTAAATGGTGTTGCTGATTTCAGAGATAACTTACCACTCGTTACCTTGAGCTTCTTCCTATTTCCCTCAGTCTCATCAACTGGTTTATCTGAGAGTATCTTCGCAGTTGAAACTTCCAGCTGACGATTCATGGAAAGAGGTAAAGGTTGTTGAGCATCCTGCAGTTGCCGAAGATCAGTCATCTTGGATCAAAATGCTGTCGGGAAAGCTAAAAGTACATTTAAGCACTAATTATATGGTTAAATATAAGAATTATGACTTTCTTACTGCTTCTTAAAGCGGCTTTATAGTACAAAATTTTTAAAAGCTGCTTTAAGAAGCATAAAGAAAGTCGTCCCAAACGAAGCATACATCATATGAAACTGTTTCTTACCATATGCAGATTTGGGAACGTGCTGCCATGAATATCCTTTGCTGCAGTTAGAGGATTAGCAAATCTCTTAGTCCAGTCTCGTGCTTTCTCATCAAAAACTTTTCTATTGTATTTGAACTCCCTACTCTGCAAACACAAACAAGAAACATCAATGAAGAAATGAATTTCTTGTAAATCACTTCCTATATTAATTGCTAGCATCCAGCTTACAACTTCAGCCATTAATCCATCGTCGGGGTTGGGCTCACTCAGTAACAAGCCAATGCTCATCATTACTGTAGAAATGTTCAATGATGGTTGCCATGCCCCCTGCATTTTCATGGTTTAAAATAATTAAATATATATGCAATTTCACATGCACAAATAACCCTAAATGCTCTTAATAACAAACAAGGAACCTACTATGAGGCTTAGTTGGGAATTCAAACCTATCCTTAAATTTTAAAAAATAAAAAATAAAAAACCTGCTATGAGGCTTACCTTTGGAGGTAAATTGAGAATATCAAGACAGATCCTTCCTCCATTGTCAATGTTAGGATGGTAGATAGGGGTAACAAAAGTTACATTAGGTGGCTGAAAAGGATACCTGTGTTTTTCAGCATGGTGAAGATGGTGATCACCGTCTAAAAATATTGAGCGAGAAGACCAGAAAGTTAATAACCTCTCAGGAATTTGAATCTTAAGAGAAAAAAGTCCTTCGCAGTAAACCGTTCCTTCTGGTCCTCTTAATCCTATAAATCATCATTTAATGAAGTTAAGTTGTATTGCATAATTGGATGCAACAACAAAGAGTAATGCTAGTCTCTAAAAAAATTTATTCGAAAAATTATTTGGCTTATTCCATAGGTGAACTGATCAAATTCGAAAGTGTCATTCACTTTTGCTTAAGAATTTTTATTATTGCACATAATTAGGCAGGAGTTGGTAGGATCAATTTGGTTTCAAACTAGATTACCGTTGGCGAACCAAATCAAATATTAGAATTACAAATAAAAACTAAATCATTAAAATATGAAACCAAATCGAACCAAATCTAATGATTTTGACCAAAAAAAAACAACGTTCATATGATTTTTAACTATTCTTAAAACAATATAATACAAGTAGTTATAAATTCTTTACTAACGAATATATATTTAAAAACTATCGAGAGAAGCATCAATAATAGACAAAGTTGACACAAATGATAAATGAAAGGTAATTATTTTATATTTTCTAATGAACTATAACTAATTTGCTTTTCTTTTGAGAAAAACTCAAATCTAAACCAAATCATATGTAACATGTTTAGATAAAATCTTAAATTCCGAACTAACTAAACATAGCCGAATCAATTGATTGTTCCAGTTTAATTTAGTCAGTTTTTTGTAGATCCCTATAATCAAGTGCTTACAAGGCATGAGTTTTTGTTTAGATTTTTTGGGGGACTGGCATTTTTAGCAATAAAATAGCATAAACTATCATGAGAATTGACTTGTAAAAATATCGGAATGCAATATAAGAGAAAGACAAAGAAAATGAAACTTACGGGCTTCAATGCTTGACAAAGACGATAAAGAAGTGTTCCTATCGGAAAGAAGGGGAAAGGAAACGCCTGGAGGGGGGTCGACTACAAGCTGCTTAATCTCCTTTTGCATCCTCAGGTTAAACCGGGCAGCTTGAGCCATTTATCAAGAACTACATAACAATACTTCTATAAATCAAGATACTCTGATTATTTTAACAATAATAATTAATTTAATAGTATTCTCCAGACAATTAAAGTGTATAACATGAACATCCTGTTCAGGTAAACCCATATTTATTAACGAAATAAATCCAGAACAAGTTCGTAAATCTGTGAAGAATTGCCGCTCCAGTGTTGTTCATGCTTTGGGTTTTGTAAATGCTCCAACTCCTTTTAACTTGCGAAGAATGTAAAAGGGTGGGAAATTGGAAAATATATATTATTGAGAATTGAAACAGCACAGTTCGGACAGACCATGCAAGTGATTGATAATGACTGCAGTTGCATAAATGAAGAATAAAAAGAATTCTAATTTTTTTCCAAAGTTCAATTGATAAGGATACCTTACAGGACAAATTACCAAGGTGCATCATACATGCACATGAAACCCAAATCGCTCACGTACGTGGTGATTGAAGTTTTAGGCCTCGTTTGTGATGTAGGACTACAATGTTAAAAGTAATTTGATAAGAGCATGCACGACTTGTTGATTAGAATAATAATGATTAAAATTATTAGCAAATAAAAACGACGAAATAAAACGTAAGAGCGGTCACTTCCGTTTAAGCTAAGTTGCACAGTAAGAGCTTTGAATTATCAGAATGACAAAGAAAATCAACGACATGCAAATATAATAGCTTTCAACGAAAATCCCTAATCTAATAATAAGATTAGAAACAAATGAAGTACACTTAAATCCTACGTTTACTAAGCTCGGCAGAGTTAGACGAACACGATCTTCATGAATTAAATCAAATCATAAGAGAAAGGTTTAGACTAAGGAAATACAATAGGAGGAAGATTGGAAGACCTTCATCAAGGCTCGGATGTAATCCTCCACTGTACGGTACCAAGTTGTTCTTCAATAGCCTCGACCAGGGTGTCCAGGATGCGCTCTACATACTCTTCTATGGTGTGGTCGATGCGCGGGTTGACGTCGAAAAAGGTCGAGTACAGGATGCAAACAAATACTTGCTTGTCGTACGAGAGGCCGTAATCAAGATTTGGATCGGCCATTCATGAATGCTAGATGACGGTCGTCTCCGAAAATCACTAGCAACCTTTGAAAATCCATTAGAGAGAAAGAAGTTTCTCTTGAACTTGAGGTGGATATGAGGATGTTGTGGCCGGCCAAGTGAGGAAAGGGAAAGATTTGACTTGGTTAGATTTGGGATGAAAGGAAAGATTTCCAAACGCTAATCTAATTAATCCCTATGTTTGGGAGTAATTAAATGAGGGGAAGAGAGGGTGTGGGCGGCGGCATGAGAGAGGTGAGGGTGAGGGATTTATTTCCAAATTCTAATGTTAGGATTTGGAAAGAATTTAAGAGAGGTGGGCTTTGAGAATTTTGGCCAAGAGAGGTGGGAGGGATTTGAATTATTTCCAAAGTGGAGAGAGAAGTTTTAGGAAACAATTCCTAATCTCATTCATGATGGGGCCGGCGGCTATAGAGAGGGAATTAGGGGAAAATAAGCAAGGGTTATTACTTTCCTAAAGGGGATTCTCAAATTTGGACATAAGCTTTAATTCCAATCTAATTCAAATTAAATTTGAATTTGATTTTAGAAACTTTCCTAAAATAGGATTCTATTTTAGGAAACGTTTCAAAATTCAAATTTGACCTGAGTAATTGAAATTATAAAACTTCCAAAAGAGGAAATCTAAGATAGGAAAGTAATGATGCAAGGGACTAAAATTTGGAGGCAAGAGGGCAAGGGGAGGCTGGCGGCAAGATGGAGAGGGGAAGGGCTTTGATAGGCCGTGGGGTGTTGGTGAAGCATGGAGGGCAAGGGAAAGGGGTCTTGGTGAAGGTTGAGGTTTTGGCGTAAGCGTGGCCGGTTGGGATGATGAATGGAAAAAGATAGATAATAAAATCACGAACCCGACTCGTCAAGGTTGGTGGGTGATGCGCAATTCTCTCTCTCCTAGGGATCTCACTCCAATCTCTCAAGCTCTCAAGAGAACTCAAACAAAGAGAAGAAAAAATTGTAATCAATCATTCATTAGTTAGAAAAGAAGAACAATAGGGCTATAAATAGCCTCTTACAAATACTCACAAAATAAAAGGATGACAATGCCCCTAGGGCTTACATACGACCCCCTTAATAAAAGGGTACAACGAGAAACTAATAAAGCAAATAAAATATGATGTTATAAATAAGAAAATACATAAAACAACTCAGAAATACAATGACTCAATCGTGGCCATAGATTGACGGCCACGTCTCTTATAGACTTTCCACGATCTGATGTCCCCATCATTCTTCCGGGGTGGGAGAAAGCTCGACTCCGTCGAGTAAGCATCTCTGGTGCTCTCGTAGATCTCTGTTGCAGCTCCTCGCGATCCAACCATGTATCCTCTGACTCGGGCTTTCCTTTCCACTTGATCAAGTACCTCCTGCAGCTCCTCGCGATCAACCATCTCCACAATGTGAGTATTTGTTGTTAATGACGGAAGACGTGTTGTAGATGCAACAATGACAATCGGCGACAAACAATGGATGTTACAATGTCCCTGCAATCAACCATCATTCAACGTCAAGCAAATATATTAACCCTATGCAAGTAAAGGCAATCAATTTCTGACGAATGCTAACACCTACAAGTTGTCGTAGAATATCCTTCATATGCATAACCTGCTATCTATAAGCGAACATAGAAACATGTGATGAATACAAACATCCACGGCCTGTTGCAGGAAACCTGTTATATATTCAACATGTCGTCTGCAAGTAAAGATGGGAGATATGCAGCGAATGCAAACACCTACGAGCGATTGTCAAAGACCCGTTGTATATGTATTATGCTACCTGTGAGAGGATGCGAAAGATTTACATTCAAAGCAACTCGCCTGCATATCACAACAGGATAGCATAAACAAGAAGATTACAGCAAACCCAATGCATTGCTCGCAGACAGAGGCATCAAGCTTGTGATGAATGCAAACATATGCAAGTAACCGCGGGAGGCTTGTTAATGCACGACAGTCTATACATGTATAAAGCAACGAGTAGACGACACATGACGTGATGCCACGTCACCGAATCTACAACACTCGTACAAGCAGACAAAAGATGTCTACAGGATCCTAGATAGAGCAATGTGCACACCCAAATGCTGATTATTGACGGAGCTGATTAGCACTAAATGTTTCAAAATTCCCTCACATATATACAACCACATGTATACACATAGATATAAAAGTGCACATACAGACACATCAGTATACAAATAAAATATAAATATATGTGCAAGTAAGCAAATATAGCACAAAAAATGTATATGCAAGTATATACCCGCATAGACCCCACCGAGCATGTTACGGGCATACACGTGATGTCTGAGAATGCTACATTGGTCAAATGATAAACTCAAATTCAAGCCTGATCCTCCTATGCTAGTAGATAGGAGTCAACATGGCTCGAACTATCAAACAAATATATGGTCATGACGTCGACTAGGATATTTATTTTAGTAAGCTTATATTAGGCCTTCAAGGATTATAAAAATTGAAAATTCACCAACAAAGGCATAAAGCCTACGAAAAACCCGATTCTCTATCGGCAAGTAGACAGAGTCGACAAGGTTCAATTCACAAATGCAACTGCCCACAAATACCCTGATGATGGCAGTGTTGAACGTGGATCTCAACTAGAGTGGTTAATTCTAAATGTTCAAAATACCACCCAAATGCTCATAAAAGTCTAAAATCCAAATATTTAAAATTGAATGAATCATCAAAATACTTAAAGGAAAACACATCCACCCTTCGAAATAACTTGTCGAGGTGGACAAATTGAAATATCACTTCAGCTCACAAGAGCTTATGTCTGGTCGATAATATCACTAAGATCATTCTCAAACAGTCTCTTGTCAACAAAGACGTGGCACGTGTCATCTAACCGACGGTTTTGTCGCCAAATGGCACTGCATGTAAATGATTATGATCGGGGGTCTCTGAATTGGGTGGTTTGCCACCAAATGGCTTGACTAAATTACGGTCATGGCTAGAGCCCGTATGCTCCTCAACGACACTAAATCCTTGAGATATGAATCAATATGATATGATCAATAGGGCAGAAAGCCCTTTGTTAGCTAAGGTGGATTCAAATTTTCCGTCTTAGACAAATATTCATCCTAGGTCTACAAGATACCCTTAGACGAAGCAACTCATGGTTGCCGACAAGGATCCTTCTGTAAGGTTGGGTCGACTACCTCCTATGACTAAGTAGACCATGGACCATGATGGCTCGGGACGATGGAACAATGGGATCTTGATCGGGTTCATCATCCATTCTCCCACCCTCCACTTTAAGTGAAATTTCAAATTTTAAATATTAAACTTCCAAATACCAAACCCATGTTGTTGTTATATGCCAAATACACGTATCTGATTGACAACTAGCCTTAATTGAAAGTTCTCTCTCATTATCAGGAGGGATAATTAACTATAGGGGTTAAAATCAATTTTTCCCCAAAAATCCGCGGCTTTCTCTCTCCTCAAAGAAAAATCATATATTTATAAATTTTCTCTCTCTTCAAAATGAGCTGATTTCAGCTTTAAAAGACTCAGATCGGCCTGGCCGATCGCCAGATCGTCCCGGGACGATCAGACCAAATTGGATCGTCCTGGACGGTTCCCAAAACTAGTTTCAGGCCGATATTTTGAACAATGCCAATCGTCCTGGCCGAAGCCTCGATCGGCCTGGACGATGCTTATAGAAAATCACCTGGAGCAAATCTGAGCAAATTCTGGAACAGATTCTCAACTGATCGTCCCAGGACGATCCCAGATCGTCCTGGACGATCCTGGAGCAGATTTTGATATTACAAGTCGGCTCTGTTTTTCTATCAAGGATAGATTCAGTTGTCAAACTGGCAAGATTATATGTGATGAAAATTATGGTGTATGTTTCTTCTTGTTAGAAGTGGGTTAAAGAGAAAGGCTTAGGGACCCAAAATACATAGAAATTCTAAATTAACCATCACAGCAATAAATGAAATTTCAGTTTTAAAAGTAGAATTTAAAACTAAGAAATTGTTCGTTTTAATTTCTGAATTAAAACTAAGCAACGTTCATTTTAAATGCTAAATAAAAATTGAAAAAGATCAAATAATTAGGAATAATTTAGACCATTAATGATAGTTATTTTAACAAGAACAACATTTCATCTAAAAATTGATTGCTAATAAAAAACAACCCATGTAAGACTCACGAAATAAGAATTGTCCATCACCTTTGAAGCAACTTCTTAAGCTTTACGGAAAAGCTCACTCATAGTGAATCTTATCACAAAATTATTGAATTCAATTTAATAGATAATACCTTGCTCACCTTCAACCATCATTACGGGGTTGATATATACTTCCCGGCCTTGATAGGAGAACATAAGAAAGTGACTAATTTGATCTGGGCCTCTTGACTAGCAAATGACATAAGGAGCAACAACCTCCTTACCTGGCTCATTAGGTTTTAATTTTACCTCCATTAGAGGAAACTAAGGGTCAAGAATATTTTATATATGCTCTATCTTTTATAACAGTTTTTTTCCCCCTTTTTGTAATATTTCAATATCAACGAATAAAAAACTTAGTATGGAATTTCCCAGTCTCAAAAGTGGAAGCACACTTCTACTCGGATATGACACTGTAATAACAAATATTAAGGAGCTGGATGACAGAATAAGAAAGCTTTACAAGGTCTCTCCAAGTTTATTATTTATAAATATGCCATGATGTTGATCTATACAAAATGATCACATCAACAAGAATCAGACAACGATGACCTAACAACGCACCAAGAAGGATTATTTAATTCATTTGGTATATCAAGAATTATTCCAAACGAAGCAAAAGAATCCAAAAACTAATTGTCAATAAAAATCCAATCTGGAGAATGGTTCAACTAGTCTTGCCAAATAACATGAGTCGAATTTAGAGTTAATTAGTTGACTAACAAGAATCACTACGCGAGAGCATCTAAGACATGTTGAACTCATCGACGAGATTAAGTTATCGAAAGCCAATCAATAGGGAATACTCGACGAAGACTAAGTAAACTTGTCAAAAAGGGCCCAATTGCCCAAGCTACAAGGTAACTTGCCCAAGTGCTCAACTCCAAGGCTAACTAGGCAAAGTCGCCCTAGTTGTTCGGTACGACTTTGCCGTAACAAAACCAATCTTACTGAAGTTTTCTAGCAACTTCAAATACATGTGTTCCTTAATTGAAAATCACTATGTATTCAATGTACTCACAACTACAAGCAAGGTAAGCTTATTTTATAACAAGCATTTATTAAAACATATTATATAATTTTACTTGTGTAGACTTCCTTATAGCACTGTGCATTGAAGCAAGCTTATCAATAGCGGTTCAAATGGTGAGCCAAGGTGACCCTCCAATCATTGCTATAGCCTTCAACTTTTAGGCAATACAATGAAATTCTAAAGATTCTCTCTGCATCATTCTCTTTCTATCTCCTATTTTCTATTGTCCATTTACATTCCTGTTAGTAGAGTTTTGGTGTTTCCCAACAAACTTTGGATTTAACAATCATAAACTATTATTAATACTAATAACAAGCTATTAACATATCAGGGCACATCTAAACAACTTATTTTCAATTAAATGGCATCTATAAACCCATTAGTTAAGCAAACATACTCTTTTGCATCTAAGCACTAAATTAAAATGGGCTTTAATTATGCAGTAAGGCTAATATGAATAAAAGAAAAATCTGCAATTAATTTGGATGCGATCCCTTTGGCAAGAAAGAGTAATAAGGAATGCCCTGGAACGGGAAATCCCTAACTCCGTCAAGCCCTGTCGCTGGACCAGTCACGCCTGACGGATTGACGGTCTCCTAAATTGGCTTGAAAGAGATGGGAAGAGAAAAAGGAGAAGGGGGAGAAGAGGGTGTAGGATTCGCACCTTTTTTAACTAGGTCGATCCACAATCGCGTCGGCAACCTAAAAGACGACCGTCGTTTCCGACACTCCCGCTCGGGATTCTAATGCCGAAACAGCGTTCGCGATCCCGCTCAGCTCTTCCTTCTGCCGAATTTTGCCCGGGAAAAAAAATTTGCGTCCTAATTAAAACAAAAATTTACAAACATACCACAAAACTTTACTTATTAAATTTTATATTTATTTATATAATTGAATTCAATTTTGTTCAATTTTTGCTATATATTAATAAATAGTTGTGTCATTATTATAATTTTTAAATATAATAAATATTTATTGCGTCATCGGGTTCGATCCCGTTTCGAAAAATTCTAATTTTTGTACTGAAAAAAGCAATAAGAAACTAACCCAAACGAAACCTAATACTGCTTTTTAAAACAACTTTCTAATACAAATATTTCAAATTCAAAAAAATTTTGTACTAAAAAATTAATTTAAAAAACAATAAAAAAACTATCCCACATGAAGCCTAAATCAGTGAAATCCGCTATGACACAGATTGTTGAAAAGCCTGTTCTATTCAGCCTGTTACTAACTAAAGATTTATTGAATTGAAAGTGTCGTATAAGTAAAAAAAAAAAATCCCAACATTTTTTGGTTCACAATAAGCCCACAGTCATTGATTCAAGCCTCATTTTTCACCCCTTCATTTCCTTTCACTTGGACATCAAGCACTACAGTAACGAAAAGTGAAAACTTGAAGCAAGCAATCACTTGGTGGGAAATCAATCATTCAAAATATCAACCACTCAAAGTAGACAATAAGAGACCAGGGTTAGAGAAATCTCCCTTTTGCTGAATATGCACTCTCGTTGCATGTTATAAGAAATCAAAACGAATTACAATATACAAAAAAAAAGGTTAAATAAACGTATAGCTAAAAAACCGCAAAAATCCCAAAAGGGGCATTACAAAACTGTAACCGGAACTGTGAATAAGTAATTCCGGACACAAACCCTTATTGTAATTTCCAAAAAGATTATAAACGTCCCCTATAATCCATTTCCTATACATGACAAGTAGCAATTACAATCTGGAGGTGAATATTTCTAATAACCCCTCATCCACCAACCAATTTATATACAGCCGAGAACCCTGTCTGAGGCCAATCCAAGCATTCCACAGAAGCTGAGCCAGACGAGGAGCCTGATTTAGAACTGGAAAACGGCAGAGACTCAAAAACTCGAAACTGAACCTGTTTATACATTGTTAACAACTGTATCAATAAATCAACCAATAAAAATGGAGTGATTGAAGGGACACCATGGTATTAAGAGTTTTCTTCATGAAAGATGATGAAAGCGAATACTAATAACACAACTTCAGTTACTTATATATTAACAAAACTCACTTCATCAAACCCTAAATTAAAATTGATCACTTTCATCTCAACTTGAACTTGGCTTAAGTTAAACTTGAAGTCTTCAAATTTTCAGTGTAGGACAGCTCACTAGAACTCAGCTCAATATCATCACTAGTATTACACCAACATTGACTCAAATTAGGGTTATAGAGGGCAGAAAGAATGTAAAGCGAAAATTAAAGGATAACAGTTGTCTCTTCGACTTTGGTTTCATTTGGGACAGCTTTCTTACTATTTTTAAAAGCAACTTTCTAGTAAAAAATATTTTGAATTATACTTTTTGTGTGCTAAAAAATTGCTTTAGAAAGTAGTAAGAAAATTGTCTCAAACGAAGCATTAGTATGACAACATTAATATTGTCTAAAAACACTGTAAACTTGACGGTCTTCGAAGAACCTCGTGACCTTAACAATTTAGGAACACATTTGGAAGGAATAATCCATTAGACAGAAAATTTAGAGGAACAAAGCTGTGAGTTTCAAAAATCATGGATCAAGTTGCAAAGTTAGGAAACAAGTGGAAGTAAATAATGTCATCCCTGTTTTAATAATTTAAAAGTTTAAACTAGTGAGCAGGCCACCTATTGCATAGATATCTATGATCATTATGAAAAACTAATACATTTATATTAGCACAAGCATAAGAAAAATCATGAAAGAAAATGCGCCTAGTTTTTTAAAAGCTCCAAAAAAACATCAGAGGCTGGAAATACTAATTCATGCACAAATTTCGCTGTATGCAATAAAGATTTTTCCAAAACAAAAGAAAGATTAATTAAGAAATTTAACAGAGAATTAGAAGAATCATACCATTCTGTCAGTTCATGGAACCTCTGACCTGCTCTCTGGCCTCAAGTCCCCGAAAACCCAAGCGATTTGAACCGTACAGAAGGCTCAAACCCAAGGGTTGCAAAGGCCAGCCTCTAGTAAGCCTTTAAATTTGAACGACATCCCTAAATTGCCTCCAGGATTATTGCTGATTTACTAAAGACTGACAGAACAAATGGCGCTTCTTCTCCAGGCTGAATAGTTGTTGGTACTATTGTGTATCCCTTCGGATAGGGATCCAAGACTAATTCACAGGATATTTCTCTGGAGTTTACATAATCTGTTCCTCCCACTGATTCATGCAAATAAATGTTAAATGCAGCACGACGACCATGTGTCTTCAGTATTCTCATGCCAATGTAAAACATCAAGCAATCATGGCTAGACTGATAATTCTTGAAACCAGAGGCCTTCTTGGAGAAACTAACACCCTAGTCAATAATGCGGCAAAAGAAAGTAATCAAGATGTTTAGTGCATCTATAAGAATACTAATGCAGTTACAGAATCAGGATAATAGGAAAAACCTGAGTTAAAGTAATAAACACATGAATCGGGTTGGTTGCCTCCGGACCAGTGGCTTTTAATCTAAATTGTGGATTCTGATGCCAGGAGTCATAATCCTGGCAGCCACCAGCACTGTAGCCGCGCCATTGCCCAGGGACAGAGTATCGCATTTCGGGTGGATAAACACGGCAAACATATATAGAACGAAAGTGAATCTGAAAATCCTGCCATGACATCCAAAATATCCCATCCTTTGCCTGATATTTAAGGATTATTAAGTAAGCAACACAAAATAAACAGTTAAATCATCTACATTCTGCTTGAACAAGAAATAGACCTAAAAAAGGAAGCTCTCTAAAGGTTGAACTCCATAAAAAGTACCTGTGGAACATGCTTCAGCTTGTGCTTCATACGGTCAGTCCACTCAGGTGATGAATCAGACCATGGACCATTCCAATCAACTTCATTGGCCCATGGATTCCGAATTTGAACGAGTTTGTGACCATCGACCTCCCTCACCTTAATCATAATTGAACCCAAGTTAAATTATTATCAAAGAAGCACATCAACAATAAATGGATCAACAAAAGTAAAAGATGGCACAATATACTTGCAACACTGAGTAAGCATGGCCTTGTACAATTCCACTGGAGGAAACATGCACATCCGATCCAGAAGGACTCCCAGCACCAAGTAGAAAACCCTCCCCTTTAAAGTACAATAGCTGAGACCACAATCTTCCACTTGCCAGATCAATCTGTGCTTGTGGACTCCTCATGTCTATCTCTTCACCTGCACCTCCTGTGAGGTCTACAAGTGCATCTTGAACTAGCCCACCTTCAAGAGCCTCGTAAGACCCATGGAGTTTGGCATAAGCCTTCTCCAAAATAGAAACCCAAAGCTCATTACGCTTCTTACTAGTAGCAAAGGCTGGTTTTCCGGGAGCTTCACATGGAATCCAATCATCAACAACAACAGGGACCCATTCACCCTAAAAAAATAAACCGCTTATTTAAAATGATCAAAGAAAATGTGCGTCATTAAATTTATTAACATTAACATTATCAGCTTGGATAAATTCTATATCAAAATCCATAGGAATTTCAAATCTTCCAATAATTAGAAGTTAAAAACAACCCTACAATGACACCTACAATTGGAAGTTAAAAATAATCACTACGGAAACACTCAATAAAATTTTCTTAGAAGCAGTTGAATCTTCACCTTATAATCGGAAGGAAGAGGATAATGCAATCAGAACAACTACTTATTGGAAGAATTTTTTTCAGAGGACAGATAAAAAGAAACTACTTTTCGAAACTTTAAAAAGTAAATATGTTTCTGGCTAAGCATGAGGCTGGTCGGACTGAGCTATTATAACTAAAAGAATTGCATAGCAAACTTTAGTCAGGGAAATCTTTCAATGATAATTTATCAGGTAAAAGAAGAGTTGAGAGAGAACTAAAACATTAAAGAGGGTAATATGTAGAAGATATAACACAACATTCTATGCCATAGAAATTTTCAAATAGAAATTGAAAAATACAAGTAATAGAATTATGACTAAATTTTAAAACTTGGTGGAACCACAGTAGACATTTTGGGATTACTTCAGAGTTGTGAAATTTTTCAGTAATCCATCCGGCTCAAATACGTTTCAGAATATTCAAAAAGGTTACAATGTTTTCAGCAAGGTAACTAGACAATAAATTAACGGGCAACCAAGTAGACTTGCCCAGCATAATCTTTTGTGTGCATTGAAGTTCGAAATTGCATGAGCATGAAAATGAAGGAGCAAGGAACAGTATAAATTGAAGATAAATTAAAAGATAAGATTATTGACAATAAATTTAAATAATTTCGTCATGTAAAATGAAATGTAAACAATATACTAATTGAATGAGTAGATAAAGTTAGAATCACAGGATTCTGAAGAAAAAGAGGAAGATCCAAAGATAAAATGAATAGAAATTGCTCACAATGACTTGTGAGGAATAAGTTTTAACATCTCAGATGACAGTCAATAAGAATGAATGAAAAATGTTGATTCATAAAGCCAACCCTAAATTGTTGGGATAAGGCTAATGATGATGATGGTAAAGCTAGTATAAGCCCACCTAGCTAGATGTTACTATTAATAAATATACTAAACAAATTAACACCTAGAAACAAATAAAGTTCTTCTGTAAATATACTTAGACTATAGATTGCAGACATAAGAAACATATTAAAAAACAAAAATTAGCTTAAAGCCTAGCGAACAAACAGATTGTAGTTTGGCCTCACACACAATGACCAGATTTATTAGTAACAAATGCGTGCAGTCAACTATCTAATCCTTTATCCAATGGTGAAGATAAAATAACTCTTCATATCTTCCTTCAATATGGTCCAAAAATTTATGTCAGACA